AAAAAAAAAAAAAAAAAAAAAAAAAAAAAAAAAAAAAAAAAAAGAGCTCACAGCTGCCATCCCAAAAACAGACCTCCCATCTGCCACCCACGATTTGCATGTCACCTTCTCCAGGCTCATTTGTACTTCATTAACTGCCATTGACTTAACAAGATTTATGCAAATGACACCATAGGAGCTCGCTAACTCCCACTGCAATCAAGTGATTATGTATGTACAATTCTCCACAGCAATGAAAAATTAATACATGACAAGCCCCCTCACCGCTGAGCTGAGCTTCTTGCTTTTATTTTTCTTGTTGTGCCTTTTTTTTTTTCCCCCCTCTTTCTAAATTTGAATGTGCCCTACTGATAAAGATTTCCCAAATCCAAAAAAAACCAAAGATCTCTTTCAAAAATGCTACAACTCCCACCCCCATCCATTCTAGAAAGTCTGGTCCCCTAAACTGCGCAGACTAAATGTGTTGCCTCAAAATATTCTTCAAAATATTCACTCTGGCCCCCAGGAACAAGTCTTCCTTTCCAGAATAAATGGGTTTGAAGGGAGGATTCTCCAACCACAGCAAACCACTCACTCTAAGGATAGCATCAGCCATGCTGCAAAAAAAAAATAACAGATATTTTTCGTTTAAGCGCCTCTTTCTCAGAAGCACAGAACTTTTTATAGATTTTAACTCTGAGCTAATATTGCTCCAGACGTTTTCTGACTCCACTTGATTTGTACAGGTTACTTAGTCGGAAATTTTTGCGGTTTTGGAAAAAAAAAATCTGGCATTCACAGTTCTTCCAAAGCTGCTGACATGGCTGCGCATGCTCAAGGCATTGGTACCTCCCCGGGAAGTTTGCCTTCCCAAAATTTCACTGACCTTAAGGGTATTTTGGCAGGACTGAGCAGCCACATTTTGAAAACGTGCCTGTTTTCAGGGCCTACATTGTGGGGTTCTGGTGGGAGCAGGAAGGTTCCTCGGGGCACTTTTTATAGGGCTGAGCCCAACAAAACCACATTTAGCACTGCAGTGAAAAGTCAATTTTAACATGTGGAAAGGACAGAGGGAGTAAGAACATTAACTGCTTTCAGCCAGACTGCTTTGAGTTAAGGCTATGTCCTGAAGGAAGGGGGTGTTTCCCTGGAAGGAAATTTGCCATGCACAGAATTCTGGAATTGTTTGGGTTGGAAGGGATCTTAGAGATGATCCAGTTCCATGGGCAGGAGGGACACCTTCCACTAGACCAGGCTGCTCAGGGTGCCACCCAAACCCTGCCAAGCTCTCAGGGATTTCCCTCCAGCTCCCAGGGATTCAGGGACCAGGAATGCAGGAGGAGGCTGCAGCTCTTGGCTTATTTTGACCAAAAGCCACTGTGCAGGTCGGCACCTGGGGCCCAGAAAAGCTGTGACACAGGGCAACCCTTCATTCCATCAGCAGCAACACAGACCGACCTGAGCCACGAGAAAACTGTGCCTGACATAAGGACAAACTTCTCACGAGCACATTTACTGGTTTGTTTGGGTCTTTTGTTTGAGCGTGTTTTGGGTTATGGATTTTGTTGTTTCTGTTTGGGGGTTTTTGTTTTGTTTTGGGTCGGCTGCTTTTGTTTTGTGGAATTCTTTCAATTTGTTTTGGGGTTTTTCTTTATGTTTAGTTTTATTTGGGAAGTAGCATTTTTCATTTCTGGGAGACCCTAGGTAGGTAAGAACAACTCGGAGGCACCAAAAAAATACGCAGGATAACCAACAACCAAAGCCATCGACTTCAACAGCTGAATAGCAAGACTCTTTTCTATTCACTTTCTTTTTTTTTTTCTAATTACAATTATTTCAAGCAGCAGTAAACTGAGAACACAGAATCCCCTATACATGAGTTTCAACCATAAGTTCCCTTTTTTGGGGCCAGCAGGAGGACAAACATTGGAAGACACGGTGACAAAGCATGAGAAGGACAAGGCTTTCAGTGATGCAGTAAGATCATTCTCATGTCAGTGCTACAGTCTGTATTCAGCTTCATGAAATGAAACTTCACTTCCCTTTCCATTCCCAAGCGTCCCAAGCAACAAGGGACAAGAGGAAATGGCCTCAAACTGTGCCAGGGGAGGCTTAGATCAGATATTGGGGAAAAAAAAAATTCTTCATGCAAAGGGAAGTTCAGGCATTGGAACTGCCCGGGGCAGTGGTGGGGTCCCCATCCCTGGAAGGGTCCAACAGCCCTGCAGATCGTGTGGCACTTGGGGACAGGGGTTAATGGTGGCCTTGGCAGTGCCAGGGGAATGGCAGGACTCTGATCTTAGAGGGTTCTTCCAACCTAAACGATTCTGTGATTGCCTGACCATTTGTCAGGGAAAACATGCCGTGATGGAAGGGGGTTCCCATCCTAAGGAGCAAAAGATGCTAAAACTTTCAGGTCAGGAAGTTCCCTTTCACATCCCTCCCCCTTCCTGACAGTGAAGGGGTGTGAAATAAGGGACGTTCCCCTTTTCCAGCGGGATTTTCCACGGCCTCAGAGAAACATCTGTGTTCGTGGCACCTGCGGAGCCCACCAGGAGCGGCCGTGCCAGCAACAGAACCTGGGCCACCTCTGCTGGCAAGCCCTCCCCAAATCCCTTCTCTTGACAGCCAAGAAGGATGTGAAATCCCACATCAGCACGGGGAACCACCCACCCAACCTCCCCGAGCCCTGACAACCCACCTCAAACACGTGACAAAAATGGGATCACCACAACTGGGACTGACAACAAGCACTGCACGTTCCCGAGAGATTGACTGGTTGCATTTAGGATAACAAGGAGGGTTGCAGGAAGGATTTTTCCAAACAGAAATTCGAGGGGGTTTAGGGGAGCTTCATTCCAACACGGTGCAGCGCAGTCACACTTACAAACGTTCATCTTACACTGCTCTTCCTGCGAGTTCATTTTCTAATCAGATTCATTCCATACCACAGCATTTCAGGAAAGAACAAGTACATCTGTGCCCGGGATGTTGGCACATGTATTCCTCAGCTTTTCACTCTCAGCTGCACTTTTGTTCAATTAGCATTCCCCAAAAGAATTCCAGCCGGTCTAAGCCATCCTGTACCATACCAACACTGTAGGAAAATAAAATTGCAGTTTGTTTTGAATGCCTGGAATCTCCTCCCCTGGATGCAGAGCCAAAATACTGAGCTTTTCTGCTTTCAAACTGCTCTTCTAGATTGCAGCGTGCTTGATTAAAATCTGCCTACTAGAGATTCACACACCACAGCAATTTTGGTGCCTGATGGTCCCAAAAAGGTCTTTTGAAACGACTGCAAGAAGAAAAATCACTGCTGATAGTTAAGGGTACGAAATCATCTCCCCCTCACACCCAAGAAATAAAGAGGAAAAACACAAAACATCCCAAAAATATCTCAAGCCACCTTCACACTGGAGACCTAGGGCTACCTGGCAGGGACTGAGGAAAGATTAGGAGAGGCAAGTGAGCGTCTGGAGGGTAGGGCAGGCACCAGAACACCTGGAGAAACCATGTGGGAAGGAAACCAGCTCCCTTCCCTGAGCACTCCTCTGCAGCAAGGCAACTCGGTAAATACTTGCAAACGCTTAACAGAGAAACTATTCGTGAGGCCGATATCAACCACGTGGATTCGGGGTGTCGTTTCATTCGAGAAACCAAACCATCTCACTCCCCAAACGCTCGCTATCCAACACTGGCCTCGCTTTTTGACTCTCAAAGGAGCGTTCACAGCTCCAATTGAGCGTCCTGGGCTAATGAAAGCGCGTCCGGGCCAGCAAAAACAGACCAAAACAAACCCTCGAATCTGAGCCCTGTTGTGTAATGAGAAAGTTTAATTAAGGCCACCCATTACAGCTGTAAACGTTCTCTTATATAATAAGGTCTGAAATGAAACTGAACCTAATCAAAGTTACAATTCCTTCATTAGCAAATTACAAACAGGAGCGCGCAGCTGACACACCGGCCGTGATTACCGGCGCTAATTGCCTCGCCGGCGCGGACCAGCCTGGCCCCACGTTCAGATGTCCGTCTGCGGCAGCAAATTAGGGCCACATCAGGCTCTTGCTCCATCACAAGGGGCTCTTGTGGAGCGATGTGATTCACCCTGCGCCCGGCAGCACTCGGCCCAATCAAAGCCCGCTACAAAGGCGGCTTTGAAGGCAGCCCAGCCTGGAAAAACGCGCTCCATATGCGGGCCGGCAGACTGCACTTCATTAGGGCCTGTTGTCACGTTGGTGGCTTTTTTTTTCCACACCCCCCCCCTTCTTCTTATTCTAATGATCCTATTTTAATACACACAGGAACCTCTCCTAATTGATGTCAAGTGAGTGACTTCCACATTCATCACCGGAGCACATCAAACGGCGGCGCCGGGCCCCGCCGCCGGAGCGCGCGAGACCCGAGGTGTGGCTCCCAACTCCGGGAAGCGGCACAAGAGAAAAACCAAAAAAAAAAAAACAAAAAACAAAAAACCAACAAAAAAAAACCACCGAGTGTTTCGGCATTACCTGTTTAATTGGGATTGCGCGGCCGCTTCCAATGCTGTCTGTTCTGCTCTCCAGGACCTTCTTCTCTTTGTCTGGGTCACTCCCTTTCCGAGACTGCAGAGCAAAAAAAAGGAAAAGTTTGTGCTCCGTCAAATGCAGCGGGTTCAACACGGAGGATGCTTTTTTTTCCCCCCCCTCCCCTTCTTTTATTTTCCAAGCAATTAAAAAATATTCTCACGCCTAAATACGGACTCAAAAGCAGTGAGATGAACCCACACAAATACAAGACCATCGTAAAATCTGAATAAATAAGATGCCGCCCGTAAATTTCAACCATCCGCTAGTTTGAGATGCATTTGGGTTTAAAGAGTTACACTTTCACTGTCTGGAGACCCAGCAGATCAGAGGACACGTTTCCGAAGTTTCCAACGACAGCTCCAGTGAGGAACGAAGGTTCCAGCTCCTCATTATAAAAGTTTAACATACCCACGCATACATTTAACTCGCACCTGTGTGGTTCTTAGAAACGTTACCAACCATGTAGAAATACAATTTTACGATGCTGGTTTTGATCACACTGACTTCAACTTATTAGCTCTTTCTACTTCGGGATGGTTACAAAGTTGGAACCGCAAGGAGAGGTGGGGATTGATGCTGGAAAAAGTTATCTGAACACAATGTGGGGGGGAAAAAAATCAGCACGAGGTGAATTCAATCGATGTTTTAACTGGAATTGCTTTCTCCTGGCGTTCCATAAGGCTGGAGCTGCTGCAGGAGTGAGGTCACAGCGCTCACCTCCTCGACTTTATCGAGTTCTGTGGGAATTCTAAGCAGATATTCAGATTGCAGCCCGCTGTTGCCAGAGAACGGTACGAACGTAATGATTTTGACAGATTTATTTTATTACAAAAAGAAGACCCGAGAGTCATCCTCCTTAATAACCGAACTGACAAGTGACAACTTCACTCCATTACTTTCCAATAGGAACATTACTCACACAATATCGGGAATGGGAAAACATTTTCGCGTGCTTTTCTCCAACTCGGGAGAGAGATGACACATGAAAGGAGCCCATTTGGGATGTCCAGTGCCACAATGGGGAGTTAATGAAAACCGGGGCGACGCTTCTCGTTTCCAGCGGGGAAAGAGAGACGTTCGAAACGCCGAAATCAGGAGGACAACGAGGACGGTGCGTCGCTAAATACCAATAATTTTCCATATTCCACTGAGGATGGGGGGGGAAGGAAGAATAAACCCCCGGAGCAGCTGCCTCGGGGCGTGAGAGGAAGGGAAGGGGAGGGGAGGGGGGGGAACCCACGGAGCAGGACTTCAAGTAACACCATTCTGAGAACACATTTACCCAGCGGGGATCCCGTGCTGCCTTCCCCGCTCCGCCGGGAACGGGCTCCCCTCGCCAGTTACTATGGATCGGGGCGATGGAATGACGTGCCGGGGAATTAAACAAAGAGTAAATGAAAAGGAAGCAAAACAAGTGGGAGGGATGAAAACCCGATGTGCAGGATAACCATTGTTCCCCGTCCTTCAAGACAGATTTCTGACTCTGAGAGTGCCACTTCCCAAGAATATGAGGCAAAACAAAGCTTCAATGGGGCAAAGAGCCCGTAAGTGACACTGTAAAGAAACTCACTGAAGGTACCCAAATCCCTGGGAGGGGAGTTGTCAACTTGAATGTTTCTTTTTTATCCCTTTTTTTTTTTTTTTTTTTTTTTTTAAAGAAAGGAGCCTGCCCTCTGAAATGGCAAAGCTGAATATCTTAACGTGCTGGTTTTCACTTTCTGGTTTTAAAATCACCCCGTCCTCCCTTCCCTACGAGTATAACTGCATCTGGGAATAAAACACTGCACACGTGGAAGGGAAATATCTACGTGCCAAACGTTGTTCAGTGCCAAAAGTATAGGAACACAGGGCTTTCTGTTAGGCAAATTCTGTTCTAGCTGCTTGTAATCACATTTTCCAGGGGAGAATCTTAGCGGGCTCTGCTATTTATGAAGACAAATCACACAGGGAAACAGAGATCTGGTCTGAGCTTTTATGCTTTTGTACCTACGACACAACACAATACATCTCACGTCCTACAGCGTAAAAAAAACCCCAGACTCTAAACCACACTGGATCAACACTTGATAGGGCTTTTTCTGATGGCACATCTACAGGTTAGATGGTTCTGTTTAAAAACTTCATGCCAGAGAACCAGATGAAGTCTGGAAGAATTAAAACACCTGCACGAATATCAGTCGACTGATTTCCCCTTTGCACTGGAAGCCATACACGGACTCAATTAGTGTAAAACTTGACCCAAGTATGGGTTGTGGAGTGAGATTTAGTTCCAGAAAGATAGAGCATCTGAGTTTGGGCCCAACCAGACCCAAATCAGCAGAGCAGAGCACCCCAAAAGTAAGAATCCTGACCTCTAATAGTAACCACTGAGACAGAGAGTTTAAGTCCAAAAAAACTCCTTCAATTCTGTAAATATATAAGGCAGGTAATACTGAATATGGGAAGGGAGATGCACCTTACTGCCCCAGAAATTCCCTCACCCCACGTGGGATCAGACATACTTACAATCAGTTCCTTGCTCAAGTGGACCCCACAGATGCAGTTTAAATCCCCACCTGCCCTATTATTTCGTGGCTCCTGTTATCACACTGCCCCCCCCCCCCCGAAAAAAGGACATTAACACTTCTGCTAATATTTGATCTGTTTTATCACCTAAGTGGACAATCAGCTGCTGCAACAATAGCTTTACAAGAAACATTAATAAGCAAAGCCAACGTGCTTAAAATTCTCAACCCTATTCCCACTCAAGAACTGTCATTAAGAGAAATCACATCTGTTTTCTACTTAACACAATTTTCTTCCAACACCAAAAGATCTGTAGATCACTAAGCAGATTACCTCTGCTAGATAACAAGGGGGGTAACTTGCAATTATTAAACAGAAATATATTTGAATCTGTAAGTGACAAAAAGCAAGCACCAGGCTGGGAAGAGAAGCACAGCAAGAAATCCAGAGCTAAATATTTTGACTACGCACTCTGTTCATAACTACACAGAAAATACTGGTCATCTGTTTATTCAAGTAAATAATCCCAGGCCAAAACCTTTTGGCTGATATGGCACAAAACCTGGGTCACAGAGGGTGGGTGCTCAATACTTCAGGACACAGACTACAGGGCAACTCACCACACAGCCTTCAGCATGCCCAGATTTAAAAGTCAGAACCAGTTCTGAAAAGTCAAATTATTATCATTACTTTTCCATGAGACCTGGTTTTCCTCCAGTTCCCCCCCCCCCCCGTTATCTGACGTTAAGACAACTCTCAACACCCTCTCGTATTCGTAAATTTGGCTCTCGCCGTGTTATTAATTACCACAGACCAGAGCTTTACTCTGTTTTTGTTGTGTTGTGTTTTTTTTTATGGCTGAGTTAACATTCTTCTCAAACCTTTCCTGTGATTCACTTCCTCAAATGTACACTTGCTCCAGATTAAAACAGCCCCAAGCTCCCCAGTGTCGACACCACCCCTGCAGCCCTAAGAGCGTTCAGTCCATCCTTCAGCCCGGACCTGGTCGGGGCTGCTTTGGAGGGCTGCGGTGGCTCCCAGCCCTGTTTGCAGGGCTCTGATTGCTGCTGGTTCCTTGGCTGACACTGACACCTAGTGGGGTTGGGAACTGCAGAGCATTCCCAGCGATGGGAAGGAAGAACCCGCAGCACTGCACTCAAACAGCGGCGTCCACCCTGCTGGGGGCACTTCTTCTTCACGCGCCGCTCCTTCCAGTGTTTGGTGCCCAAACTGCGTGATTCCCTCTCCTCTGGGGGAGTCCAAGATCCCATTTTACACCAAAATGCCCCTCCTGGCATGGACACAGGATCCCGGGGTCTCTGAGCTGTCACTCCGTGCTCCGATACGGCAACAAAACTTTCTACGTGCTAAAGGCCAAGAGCTCAGGTTTTGTTTTTAGAGCGTGAGGAAATGTTTTTATCCTTCTTGTACGTGGGAAGTGAACGTGGCAGCACCTCTGGAATAAAATATATCAACTCTCCCACAAGGGAGGCCGTGGCTCTCTAATCTCAACTAATGTGCACCTACAGTCACCAAGGGGCTTGGGTCGTGAGCCCCCAGGGGTTGTGAGTTTGCCATAAAGCTGCCAAAGAACTGCTTACAAACCACAACTGCACAACTCTCATCGTTTTTTTTTTTAACTCTAGAAAAGTGGGTTGATTCTCTACAGTAATGAAAGTAGCATGAGGTAGTTATGGAATGGTTTGGGTTGGAATGGACCTTAAAGCTCATCCCGTCCCACGCCCTGCCAGGGGCAGAGGGACACCTTCCACCAGCCCAGGTTGCTCCAAACCCCTTCCAGGGATCCAGGGGCAGCCACAGCTTCTCTGGGCAGCCTGTGCCAGGGCCTCCCCACCCTCACAGGGAAGAATTGCTCAGCACCAGTCCCTCCCTTGGCTCACTCACCGTGAAGAGGTTGGATCGGCGCTTGGACTGTTTACGGACAGGAGTTGGAGTGTTGGCAGTGGGAGGAACATCAATCCGCAGCTCCTTCTGGCTGGTGCTTGGAGTTGATGGGACAGAGGAGGAATAATCACTTAAACTCCCTCCTCCATTACTGGTCTGCAAGGATTAAAGTGAGTTTTAAACGGTGATACACTGCTTTTCAAGAGATTACAATCCACAGCCCTATCTTATTGACTCCTGATTTACACAAGAGCAGCCGGGGCTGGGGAACGCGGGGGCTGCCCTCCTGCCACTGTCCCACACATCCCTGGACACACGGGTATTCCAAGCCTTTTTCCCTGCCATTGCTTTTTGAATACTTAGCTCTGTTTTTACACAGCAGGCACGTTTTCATTCTGCACAGCGTAACCTTCCCTGGGTATCACCAGTTTCATTTGTTTTCTAGTGTACGAGGAGTAAGGACAACATCGGGGAGAACATGTTGAAAACCTGGTTTTCTACTTCAAAATTACTAAAACTAAACTCTGGCTCTAACCTGAGAGAAAATACCCAGTGCCATGGAGCTGCATAACTGCAGTTAGTCCTAGCTTGGAGACATCAGATTACTGAGAGCTCATCAAGAAAATGAAAATAATTCAGCACTGTACAATGGCTACTGCGGGGTTAGAGAGATCCCAGCACATGGAAGGAATCACAGAATCTCCTGAGCTGGAAGGGACCCACAAGAATCATCAAGTCCAACTCCACAGGATTTGCTGAGGTCACTGGTCAAGAGATAGGAAATTTTAGAAGGGAAGATATTCCAAGTTATTCAAAGTGGCGGGAAATGCAATGTTACATCTCGGTCCTGAAAGAAATAAAGCATTCAGCCTATTAAAACAATTAATGAATTGAGGGAAAAATTAGTAATAGCAGGATGGTGAAAAAACTGGATGGGATAGAAAGGACCAAAAAGCGATTAAGAACAAAGTCTTAAGTTAAAAGAAGATTATTACACATAACATGAGTACTAAAAGTGGGAGTAGTCAGGAAAGACAAAAGGGCCAATTTTTCCCTATCAGATCCAATTACACCCTTTGAGGACACACTGTATGTGCTGAGAGGGGAATGGGGCAAGGCAAGGAGGGAAAATTCCACCCAGTGGAGGAGCAGCAGTGGGTGAAGGGGCTGGACAACATGTAAATCTTGGGGGAAATAAAGTCTGGGATGCACACAAGACATGGAAAGAACATCTGTAAAGCAGCCAAGTTTCCTAGAGGAATAAGGAAAAATAAGTGTTTCCAGAAAGGCTGAGGAGAAGGATGCCTGATGGCACTTCTCCCACACTCCCTGGGGGTCAGCACATGGAACAGGATCAGAAATTCCAAGCACCTCCCAAGGAGAACCCTGTGGGAGACAATCCCTTATACCATCCAGCTGAAGCCTTTTCTCATGTTTCAGATCCTCTTCTGATTCTTCCAGCTTTCCAAATTGCCCTTTCTCAAGTCAAGGAGTAAAGCATAAGGAGGAAGAGGCATGAGACAAGCAGTTCCTGTTTGGGTTGAAGGGCCAACCAGAGCAGATGGAAACCCAGGAACACCACCTTCTGAAGGTCACTGTTTCCCTGGAAATGACATGTTCCTCAGCTCATCTCTGCGTGACAAAACGTGACTGACAACACTGCAAATGGCTTTTGATGGAGCAAGTTCTCCTTTCCCCTCCTCAAATAAAAATATACACATACAAAAAGGACGCTAAGTTTCTTTTTCCCTTCATTCTGACCGAACTGGAGAAGTGTGGCTGTCAGGGAGCCAGAGTTGAGGGCACTGAAAGCAACAGAGGGCCTGGAGAGAGACTTTTCTGCAACATGCTCAAGTGCCAGAGGCAGCAGCAGGTTTTGGAAATGGCCCAAGTGTGTAAAACAAAGGAGTTGAAATAGCTGGAATGATCATTTTTAGTGCCCTAAGAGAGAATGGTAATGCTGCAGAGACGGGCAGGACAACCTGGGCAGAAGGGACCCTGAATTATCCCACATCTGCCTTCCCTTGTTCTCAAACCAGTGGACATGAAGAGAGTGTTACAGAAGCCTTGTGCTTTTTAAACTAAAATGACCAGATTTCTACTCTAAGTGCCTGTTTCCCTGGTAGAGAGAATGAGGGATTCCCTGAAATTTTACCTTCTTAATCCTTCATCATCTTACGGTGTCATTTTACACTTTTTGGAGCTGTCCCCTGGATTTATAATGATTTATGTTCCAGGAGTGAGTAACTCCCAAAGGAAAACACCCACATGTTGGGCATTCTAGCCCCAAGGACACACCCTCCTACACAGACAGGTTCTATAAAAGAAGTCCTGCAGGGAATGTTTCTCTTCACTCAAACCAACCTTGCTCGATTTCCAGCTTCGTAAATAAAATTGGGGGCTGATTTCAAGATAAGCCCCTGGCTGGAACGATGAAAAACACAAGCAAACACGTGGAAACCATATTTAGAGAACCACAGGATGGTGTGGATTGAAAGGGAGCTTAAAGCCCTTCCAGTGCCACCCCCTGCCATGGGCAGGGACACCTTCCACCAGCACAGGTGGCTCCAAGCCCCGTCCAACCTGGCCTTGGACACTTCCAGGGATCCAGGGGCAGCCACAGCTTCTCCATGAAACCTGTTCCAGGGCCTGCCCACCCTCCCAGGGAACAATCTAAAATGCTTGTTTGAAATAAATATTAGATTACTTAAAAACAACCCTGTAAATCCAAAAGGATTGTGCTGTATATGGCAATGTTATTAAATGTATTAACATTCCTCCTCCAGTTTTCACTTTGCAACTCCCTGAAAAGGCAGAAGGAACAGCTACTTAAGCAGTGCAGCCTCTTCTCTAGTCAAGTGCCCAAAATACTGCAACAGAACATTTCATCCTAAATGGCCCCTGCTATAAATAAGATAATTGTACCCTGCTATTTAATGCTTATCCATAATCAGGTCTCATGTCCCATAAAACAATGGATGATCAAGCTGACTGCGCTTTGCTTTCAGCACTTCAATTTACATATTTAGACAATCATGTTGAAGTAAAAACTCGATGGAGGCACAGTGCAAGCATAAATAATGCATCTCTACGGGTCTGCGACAGGTGGGAGGGAGAGAGGTTGTGTGCAAGCAACAGCTGAGGGGCAGCTTGGTACAGTGGACAAGAAGCTCCACACCCTTCCCAGGAATATTCCAAATCTCCTGGGAGAGAGGCAAAACAAATGCAAACCTCCTGGGAGAGAGAAAACACAATTCCTGACCCTGCAGTCCACAGGTGTGAACATTGAGGGGCTGGAGCATCTCCAGGGAAGGAGCTTGGAAGGGGCTGGAGCAGCTGAGGGAGCTGGGGGGCTCAGCCTGGAGAAAAGGAGGCTCAGGGGGAACCTTCTGGCTCTGTAACTCCCTGACAGGAGCCCAGCTCCAGGTAACTCCTCAACACACTTGTCCAGGGCCACCTGACACAGAAGGCACTGCTTCTTGGAACCAGATGATCTCCACTTTCAGGGGCTGGACAGAGCAAAGAGCCCCCTGGGAACTGCTGGACATTGACACTGTTCTTCACTAAAAACGCCTTCCTGATACATCAGGTGTGAAGGACAACTCCTCCAGTCCAGGGGTGAGTTCAGGGAAGAGGAATGCCTGCGGGGATTTGGGATGGAAAAGGTACTCTGCACTCCTCTGAAATAAGATTTAGCACAGTCTACAAGCACACCATGTCCAGACAAACCGGCAAGAGGCAGCAGGTGGGCGGGATGACAGGTGGGGTTAGAGATGTGGAGCACACAGATACACATGTGACTGGTTGGTACTCCCTCAGTGTGCAAAAAGCAAATTAAAGACCCAGCCCAAGATGCCCTGAGGCCAGTAAGGGGCCTTCAATCCACTAAAGAACACTTCTTCCTCTCCAAACAACTCAGTCTACCTGCTGGAGCGTTCCAAAAAGCCAGCTGGTGAGCTGTGACTGGAGCACTTGCTGCATCAGAATGTAAATGGTGCTGCACCATCCTTCTTGTTGACAGAATATACAACAGTTCTGAAAGATGAGACTCAAAACTTCGTGCACTCTGTGTTGCCCTGAAGGCCCACAGATGTGTCTGAGGCAGGTGCACCAAGGGTTGTTGACTCTGGGTGTCCAGGGTTTCCCAGTAAAACTCTCACCTTGGCTGACATGTGTGTGTTGGAAACAGAATTCGGGAGGAAAATGAAGCAGAATCTACTGCAAAGACAAGTGGGTTGTGCCTTTGGAATGGGAAGCATCTCATCCTGTGAAACAGGTGTTTGGAAGTACACACAGACACACCTGAGAGCATCTTCTGGAAGGGGATGTGACTCAGGTGGTCACCACCTTGGACCTCTGGGCACGAGTACAGAGATGCATCCAAATGTACAAACAAGTTCTCCTTTCACAGAGCCACAGAATGGCTTGGGTTGGAAGGGACCTTAAAGCTCATTCTTATTCCACCTCCTGGCATAGGCAGGGACACCTCCCAGGTTGCTCTGAGCCCTGTCCAACCTGGCAAACTACTGGGGGGAGAAGCCCTGGTTGGTATTAAGCCTTAGAATCTCCCCCAAGGTATGCTAAGGACTAGCCTGGGTGAGGTGACACTTGGTATTCCTTTTTTTCCTTTCTCTAAAAGGAAGCAGCTTCTGACTGCAGTGTCATCTGGAGGGTTTGCAGCAGTTGGATCCCCAGGATGATCCAACCAGAGATGGAACGATGCCTGACTCCATCTGAAGGGCTGTGTGTAAGCACAGCCTGCGAAGGGCCTGGCCCCCCTGGAGAATGCAAGTGGCAGGGCACTGCAAGCCATGACGGGTTTGATCCGAGGAGGAAACCTTCAGAGGAGCATCATTACACCAAAAGAGATGTTCCAGAGGGCAAGACACCAGCCAGTCTTCCAGCCAAGATCAGAGGTGGCCAATCTTGCCCCGGATCGTCTTAAAACTTGGAATTGCAGTTGCAAAGTTCTTTTTAAGTCTAGGATAAGGATTCAGCTTCCTTTCCTTAAACAAGGTCACGCTGCCTTTAAGTGCAGCACAAAGGAGACAAGGCATGAAACAGATTTGTGGCCCCTACTTTTAGGCATGACATCAGTCTCAGAAGACAGGACTTCTTTGACTGGTGATGCAATTGCCCCCTTAGATAATTATGACAGCAGTAGAGGCAGTAAAGAAACATCACTTCAGTTTTACTGAAACAGAATTTGGGGATCCTTATCACAAAAGCTCCCCCTGCCTTGGCTTTCCCAGCCCTTATCCCTGGCAAGAAGTTTGCTGTGTAGGTAAAGCACTCGCCTAGAACTTGGGACTGACTTCCAGACTGGAGACTTGGGTAGCAACGTGGGGAGCACTGGATATTTGATGTCCTTCGAGGTCACATATGGCAAGAAAGGGGAGAATCTGTCCCATGTGGGAACTTGTACATCCCCAGGAGGTGCCAGGTTCTTCTGAAGAGCCTCAGCACCTGCTTTAGAAAGGGGGGGCTGAACTCCAGCATCCTCTTTTGGCTCACCAACCAAAGCCAGTTCCAGTCTGAGCTGGATATCAGGACTCAGCCTGAGGCAGAATAACTCACAGCAAAGAGCTCTAGGGACAGACTGGCATCTGCATCTGTAGGGTTACAAATCAATGGTAGAAGTCACTGCTTTTTGCCAAAAAGCAGACACTCTGTGTGGGAGAACAACATCTCACGTGGGTGGCTCAGGACTGCAACAAAACTTTAGAAGACACTGGCATCTACTGAGTTTAGACTGAAAACCACCCCAGGAGGGCTGGGGTGTCTGGAATCGCTCAGTTCATGTCCATCCCAGCTGGGGACGTGCACAGAGATTATCACTTGACACTAGAAAACAAAGACACTGAGGAAGGGGATGGCAGGGGAAACACGGGGAGTGTGCAACACACGGTGGGGGGGAAAACTGTGCAACTTAGAAAGTATTGGTGTTAACCATGTGTTTCTAAAAATACCATCAAGGTATCATCACAGTGTACAGTTCCAGCACACACACCACTGGGATACACCAGCTCAGCACACAGCTGAGAGAGAGTAACCACCAAAAACCACAGCACAGCAAATCCTGCAGTTTTAACAATGGGTCTGCTCAGACCTGCAGGCTGCTGGCATCAATCTGGACCATCACAGATGGCTTTAAAGCCAAACTGGTTTGCTTTACTCCTTTGTTTCTTGAAACAAAGTCAAGCTAGTTTAAAAAAAAAAAAAAAATTAAAAATTGCTTCAAACTCAAATCACTGATAGCATTAAAATAATAATAAAAAAAACCACAACCACCTCTCAGGCAGCAAAAAAAAAAAGCACTTTAAATGGCATTAGACACACCAGATGACAAGCAACTGCTGAGTTCCTAACCCAGGCATTTGTGACAGTCTGTACCTGGCTGATATGTACGGCAGAGACCTGGGCAGAACACACCGAGGAGTGGCTCGGAGAGTTGGGCAGAGATTTGCAGGGTCCGATCGAGAGCTGCTGCTTCTTCTTCGTTGAAACGATCTTCTGGGCAACTGAAGGGAAACAAAAACATCCAGGCAGGTGAGCCACAGCACAGGGGGAAAACGGGGAATGTCAGGAACGCGCAAGGACACAAAACAGGTTTGGCTTCCACCGCCCAATCCTGCTCCGAACACTGACTGCCCCTGACCCACCGGAGCTGGACTGGTGGGTGCCACACATCAGATCCCAGTCTAATCTTTGTTGAAAGAAGCTATGCCATGATTACTACTTTTAGCTTTTAGTCCTTAGCAGCAGCACAGCTGGAAAAACGCCTCGTTTGCTCCGCAATTTATTAAGGAATTTTCTTCAGTGCGTAGGGAGAAGCAGCATTTATCAAACAGATACAGGGATCAGTCATTAACATCTCTGTGCGTGGCTTAGCAAACCCATAATAAAAGAAACCAGAACCAGTGACAACTATTGGCATCTCCTTAAAAAGTCACGCAGAAACTCGGTGCAATTAAGCCGAGAGAAGTAGTCGGTCTGTCTTGTTCATAAAGATAATTATGTAAATTCCGAGATGATTTTTCCTCACTGCATTACAGCATGGGCAGAGATGGTGCAAAGCACGGCTTGTTCTCAAACAAATGCAATTTTAATAACAAACTGGTCCGTGGCTTATGTTTTTCATGTAAATGAATGATGGCACAACCGTGATTTAGTGAGAATACATTGTATAAAAAATGGCTCGTACATGTGAAGAAGCAGCTTCATTAGTTACATCCCACCTCCAATAGGCCTCTTATCATCCTGAAAGGATGATATCAATTAATTTATCTTCCCCTGGCATATTGATCATAACCTTCATCAGCTAATCATGTTTAAATTACAGAGGAATATCGTAGCACTCCGTCATTTCAGACCCATTGGGTTATCGATCTGGAGCCTGGGAAGGCCATACATTACAATATTTTCAAACACGTTAGCAGACGCAGAGAGCGAACCAAAGGTCAGATTTCAACGTATGCACATGGGTTTGTCTTCCATCACGCGCAGTGAGGGCCTAAATTAAGACCAAAACTGAATTAAAACCACACACGAACGAAAACTGGGCTTGGCAGGGCTGGGTTAAGGGTTGGACTCGACCATCTTGGAGGGCTTTTCCAACCAAAACAACTCCGTGATTCTACAATTTGTGACCCTGTAACAAATGTCAGTCCAGAGGGGTCACTCAACTAAACCAAATGTTGTTCTATAAAGTGAATAAAAAAAAAAAAAAAACACGCAAGAAAGCAGAAATATTTTTGCCCCAGAGCTTTCAGGTTCTGCCTCGCCCCAAATCCGCTTCTGAATTCAATGGTTCCATTTAACAGTTGCTAAAACATGTTCCTAAAACAGAAGAATACTGACTTAATCTATGGCAGATATAAAAAATAATCAAGATAGTGACAAGCATTTCAACTATTTTTAAAAATCAATTGCATCCCCTGTCCTTTTACATATAATTAAGCTATCAATTTGAGGCAGATTTTTATTGCAACCCATCCTTCTGTAATACAAAAAGCCAAAGAAAATTTATGTGCAAAGTCAAGGACTCTTCTGCAAATAAACAGGGATATCAGGGATATGCCACAGGTTTGTAAACAAAGAGAATTGCTATTTATCAAATATCTGGGCTTTGGGGAAGTCTGATGCTTATTTCTTATACATCTGAATTGAATTCCACAAGCCAGAATATGACTATTCTTAAAGCTGTATTTTGCTTTAAGGCCTGGGTATTTAAAAGCATGTGAAATTGCTGGTCTGTGAGGTGAATGAAATGTCCAAGTTGGGGGAGAAGGCCCTTGGCTTGAATGGCTCAGGAGAGCAGGAGAGCTCAGTGTTCTGGCTCTGGTGGGTTTTTTTTGACCAAGGAACACTCAAAATATTAAAAGGGAAGGCTCCAGGCACACAATTTCCATAACATCTGGCCATATTTCTTCACTCAGTCATGGGTGGTCACGTATTCAGGAGATGCAAACAACTCTTCTCCAACTGCCACCGATTCAAATCAAAACTGGTTTCTCATAAAAAACATGTGTAAGGCCATTTATCTCCACTGCACGTCCAAGTATGAGTAAACACTGGGTTCAGCTAAAACCTGCCCCTTCTGCAAAAGATGGGAATGCAGTGACTTGTCCTTCATTATTGACAGACAGAAAATAAGTTCTCAGCTGGAGCTGGGAATGCACATGGGCTGACTGGAAAACAGCAGAAGGGATAATAAACGCTCAGGAACACCTGTTTCAGCTACTGGGGGGGGAAAAAAAACACAACCCACCAGAGATCAGCTTTCACCTTTGTGCCTGTTAGTTTAAATTCTATTCGGGTTTTTTTTTAGGTGAAACAACTTTTACACCTCTGTGTCGAAAAGGAGAGCTGGGTATCCCACGTGCCAGGTGTAAGAGAGGAACGAGTGCTGCTGGACACTTCCAGTGCTGGGGTTTGGGTGCAGCAATTTACCCAGCTAAATTCTGGCTAGTTTAGCCAGGAATGTCTGAAGGTTGACAGGACAAAGTCAAAAAAAAAAAAATCAGAAGAACTGTGAATGAATGCTATCTGCTGAGAGGGGAGACTCCAGTTAAAGCACTGTCCTCCTCGTGGCACCCACTGTAACACAAAGCTGTCAGCAGACAAAAGTTTATTTGCTATTAACCCAGTGAGGGCTTCAAAGGTGCTCCCAAAATCGGAAGCCACATTTTAATCCAGGAGCAAATTCCTACCTGAATTCCCTTTTTAATCTCATATTGAAATACATTTATCTCCGTGGATGGCTCCGTTGCTCTCTGCAGGGCTGGTGATTTGCTGGAAACGAAGTGATTGTGGGATTGCTCTGATTACTGAGGGACTGAAATGCCAACTGCAACGAACAGTTCCCCTCCGGACGGGACAGAGTCGAGCCCACTCCTGCCTAATTTTGGGATGAAAACAACTGCCAGGACTTCCAGCTACACAGCCAAACCCAATTTCCAACTCCTCAGGCAGAGATTATTTCCAAGAACTATTAGGCTATTTCATAATACGAGTAAATAAGAAATGTACGTACGAACACACCAATTTTATGCCAAAAAATACTGTTTCATGATCACCATGGTTCACAACCAAGCTCAGCTACAATGGGCTAGTTCAGTGTTCATGTTTCTGGAAGACTTGAATACAATTCTCCTTAAAAATAATTTTAAAACCACACCTGACTGGTATTTTTGGGGGGAGGGGTCGTGATCCTTCACAAAATCCACATTCCAGCTCTGGCTGTGTGAAATAACTTTTCTTGTTTTATCAGATACGAAAGTACAGCTATAAATAAAACTCTGTGTTAAGTATCTTTAATCAATGCCAACATATATTTTTTCCCTCCACAGGTAACTGTGATTAACACCGCACATCACTTATTCCTAACTTTGATGCAAATCACTCTCTCCCCAGGACTAGGTAAGCAAACATGCCAATAAATCCACTGGAAAGCATCTGAGGAAATTTAAAAAACAAACCTGTGTTTCCTTCGCTACTTGAACTGTGTTGCACGTAGAAGAAGATGGCCCAAGGATTTACAAGGCAAACGCCAAAAAAAAAAGACTCCTGCACGTGGATTTACCTCACCAGTACATCATGAAATTCTCTTGATCTGTCCATTAGGATGGAATCAAGTCATAAATCCTGTTATATCCCACACAAAGGTATGATTTTAAATACAAAGGTTAAAAAAAAAAAAAAAAGGGGGGGGAAAAAAAAAGGGGGAGGGATCAAACTGAAAAGATTCCAGTGCAATGATTGTGTTTTGTAAAACGACCCTAAAGGAAGCAACTGGGTTTTTAACCATCCTGTAAGAATAACATTCTTCAGGGTAATGTCATTGTATGTGTTTGATTCTGTGTCAAAACGCAGAATCATTTATTAACCAGATCAAAACACAGATTTAAATAACATCAAATGATACAATGCTTTAGGATTTCACCACCTTGGCAAGTCATTTCACAATTAACACTCTGAAGAACCTTCATGGAAGGCCCAATTTTGGGGCATGCTATCACACTTCTGCTTTTACAAAGAACATCTCTGCTTTCTAAAGATTCAGGCACATCCAGTGAGACAAGGATACAAAATGGCAGAGAGCTGCTGATTATATCAGTGCATCTCAGGTTCATCCATCCTTCTAGAAAGAAATAAACTTATGCACCTTTACTGAATCTAATTCAATTTAATCCATCTCTCATTCACACAGTTCTTTTAACTCTCCTGGAAGAAAAAATACCCCCAAAACGCAGAATAATCAATGATAAAAAAAAAAAAAAAAAAAGGGGGGGGGGGAAACCCTACCAAAATTCCTTAAAATTGTTGCCTAATAACTCAAAGTGTCAGAACCCAGAAGTGCGACTGCACCTCGAGATCGCCCAAGCAGAGCCAGTCCCAAAAATAAGAACCCCATGACCAGCATGGCAGAATGAAAACAGTACCCTTGAAAATAGCAATTACACTGCTCCAAATCCATTTTCAGGGCAGTTGGATCTGTTTGAAATAATCCATGGGTTAATTTAACTTTCCTGTTAAAAACTTGGTTCTCTTCTCTTCCCGTGTTTGTATCACCAAACTTCACACAGGCAGAGTTGCTGTAATGTTTGTGTTTAATCAAACCCTAAACTGTTACTTTCATCCCATTTCCCAGTCAGTGTGTGAGTCAGGCATGATAATATTGCTCCAAACTGCAGATTTATGTGTGGAGGGGTTATCCATGATGTCATTAGAAAATTTCTGGGCGTATCAGAGGACCAGAAGAACCCCTGACAGCTCCGCCCAGTTTAACCTGACTCCTGGAACACCTCAAAAAACATTTTATTCACTACAGAATTTGAACAAATATCACTTTCCTGACTTGAAATACGGATATTATTCCCCAAGATGTAAATATTCTCCACAAAAACAAACAAACAAAAGAAAAAACAAACAAAGAAAAACCAGGTTTACTACGGCAACACCCAAAAGGTGCACAAGTACATACATCAGTGCTGTTCACCATCAAAATCAAGATACAGAA